GAAGAACGGGAAGGACACACGGGAGGCACAAAGGAACCAAAAGAGGACAAAGGTACAGAGGGACACGGAAGGGACACAGGAGACACAAAGGGACCCACCAGAGACGAAGGCACAGAGGGACGGGGAGAAAACGCATGGGGTACAAAGGGACTAGAGGGCACTGAGGGAAGAAGGGGAAACACAGGGGGCACAGAGGGGAGCAAAGGTACAGAGGGACGAGGAACAAACATGGAGGGCACAAAGGAACTAGAAGGGAACGACGTAGAAATAGGACGGGGAGTGAACACAGGGGGGACAAAGGCACTAGGAGGGAACAATGGTGGAACAGGATGGGGTGTGAACACAGGGGGCAAGGGGCAATGGGGAGCAGAGGGGACCCTCAGTGGGCATGAGGTAGGGCGTGCTGGAGCAGCAGGTCTCCGCGGGGCCAGAACATGGGCTGATGGGGATGCAGTCCTCGCCTGCCTAGGCGCGGGTGCCTGAGGACTCGCAGGCGGGGAACCCACCGGTGTCTGTGGGATCGGCACTGGGGGGAACCGAGGTGGGCCAGGGAATCAGCCCGGGCGCAGCAGCCGCAGGCGGTGCCGGGAGCCCGGGTGCAGCAGCAGGAATCGCGGAGGGCGGCGATGCAGCAGGAACCACGGAAGGCACGGCAGCCTCAGGAGGCGATGCAGGGGCCACCAAGCCAGGAACCACAGGCGCAGCCAGACCATCAAGCGGCGGCACCGGAGACTCAGGGACCGCTGGGGGCTGAGCAAGGACCGCAGGGAACTGAGCAGGAGGTGCAGGATCCACGGGGGACTGAGCAGGAGGCGCAGGAACCGCCTCTGGCAGTGCAACAACAGGGGCCTTGGGCGGTGCAGCAATCGCCGACTCCGGGCCAGCAGGGGGTGCCGCAGGAACAGAAACCATGGGTACCTCGGGGAGCGGCGCAGCAGCCGCTGGCTCAGGAGCCTCGGTGGGCGCTGCAGGTGTCACAGGTACCTCGGGGGGCACTGCAGGAGCAGGAGGCACGGGCACCTCTGGGGGCGCCGCGGGAACAGCCGGCACGGGAACCACTGGGGGCGCTGCCCAGTTCGGGAACTTAGGGACCCGCAGGATGGAGTCCCAAATGGACCTGGCTCCTTTAAGGGCCAGGCGCATCCCGGAAAAGGGGCAAGCAGCTGACGTGGGCAGAGAAGCGATGGGCGGATGGTCAGGGCAGGTGGTAGCAGGCGCGAACATTGCCGGGTTCAGAATAAGGAGGGGGTCCTCCCGACACCCAGCCAAGGAAGCAGCAAACAGAGAGACAGCCCCTAGGAAGATTTCATGCGCGTCGTCATGCCCTTGTTTTCTCCGCTTTTTCTTCCGCCTTCCTGCAGTGGGCGGTAGCGTTTGGGGTACCTCCGGTAAGTCCGCCTGAGGACCGGAAGGCAAGTCACAGACTGTGGCCACCAGCTGAAGCTTAGCCTCAGCCATCCTGTCCCACAGCTGCCGCAGGTTGTCACGCACCTCTGCAAGGTGCGGGTCCTTTGACAGAGAAATCCTTTCTAGGATGTCTCCGGAGCGAGAAACTCTTCTGGGAAGGCTGTCCACAAGGTTTAGGTGTGTTTATGGGAATTTCTTACCATTCTTCCAGGAGAGCATTTGTGAGATCAGGCAATGTTGGACGAGAAGGCCTGGCTTGCAGTCTCCACTCTAATTCATCCCAAAGGTGTTCTACTGGGTTGAGGTCAGGCTCTGTGCAGGCCAGTCAAGTTCCTCCACACTAGACTTGCTCATCTATGTCCTTATGAACCTTGCTTTGTGAACTGGTGGAACAGAAAGGGGCCATCGCCAAACTGTTCCCACAAAGTTGGGAGCATGAAATTGTCCAAAACGGCTTTGAATGCTGCAGCATTAAGAATTCCTTTCACTGGATCTAAGGGGCCAAGCCCAACCCCTGAAAAACAACCCCACACCATAATCCCCCCTCCAGTATTTACCTTTGGCACAATGCAGTCAGGCAAGTACTGTTTTCCTGGCAACCGCCAAACCCAGACTCTTCCATTGAATTGCCAGACAGAGAAGCATGATTCATCGCTCCAGAGAACACGTGTCCACCACTCTAGAGTCCAGGGGCGGCGTGCTTTGCACCACTGCATCCGTCGCTTTGCATTGCAATTAGTGATGTAAGGCTTGGATGCAGATACTTAGCCATGGAAACCCCTTCCATGAAGTTCTCTACACACTGTTCTTGAGCTAATCTGAAGGCCTCGTGAAGTTTGGAGGTCTGTAGCTATTGACTCTGTAGACAGTTGCCAACTTCTTCACACTGTGCACCTCAGCATGCATTGTCCCCGCTCTGTAATTTTACGAGGCCTGCTACTTTGTGGCTGAGTTGCTGTTGTTCCCAATTGTTTCGACCTTGTTATAATACCACTAACAGTTGACCATGGAATATTTAGTAGCGAGGAAATTTCACTAATGGACTTGTTGCGCAGGTAGCATCCTATCATGGTCCCACGCTTGAATTCACTGAGCTCTTGAGAGCGCCCCATTCTTTCACAAATGTTCGTAGAAGCAGTCTGCATGCCTAAGTGCTTGATTTTATACACCTGTAGCTATAGAAGCAATTGGAATAGATGAATTCAATGAATTGGAGAGATGTTCCAATACTTTTGGCAATATAGTGTAACATACTATAACACTGTAACACATAGAAGATAGGGAACAGCTGGGAGATGCATGGCTCCAAGGAGGAGCCACTGGGACAATCAGGGAAAAGAAGTATTTTCCTGGTCAGGCATGTCCAGATGATGGGACCTCCTTGATGGGGACATCTGTGATTCAAGTGATTCATGTGAGTCAAGAATAGCAGTAAACGTTGTTATTAAAGGATCACTGTCATTCTCAATGTGAATATTAAAATTGCCAACAATCATAGCTTTGTCAGTAGAGACTCTTAGAAAATTACTGCACAGACCAGGCAGTCTATACACAATAACAATAATGACTGGAAGTGTAGGACTACAAGGAGATGAGCAGGCAAAACTACAGTAAGAACTAGAATTTCAAATGTGCTAAAGCTACAGTATAACCACTTTTCCTTGGTTGGACTGAAATATTGCAGCAACACCACCACCTTTGTAATTTGGTCAAGGGTTATGCTTATAACTGTATTCAGCTGAAGTAGATTAATTTAGAGCCATGAATTCAATCAGTTTAAGACAGGTCTCTGTAAGGCATAAGGCACCAAGACTAAAATCAGTAATCATTTCATTTATTAGTAACACCTTAGAAGTCAGTGATCTTATATTCAAAAGTCAAAGTTTTAGCTTTGCGTTATACCTATTATCAAATGGATTTGGTTTAATTTTTTTAAAGTTATTATACTCTACGATCGAACAGACCTCCATGATTAAAAATGTGGGGAACAGACATAGTCTCAATAACATGAACCGAGGGTGACAACTCTAAACGACTAGCAGGCGGTCGGTTATGCCGGTTTGCCTGCCGCCTGGACTTGGCTCTGGCTAGTCAGCAATTTGCCTTGAGACTATGAGCTATGCTTGTGGACAGGAGATCGACATCAGGCCATGAGGGGTGAATACCATCCCAATTCAAAAGCCCAGGCCTACCTCAAAACGTCCGCCAATTGTCTATATAACCCACACCATTTATCAGGCACCATTCCGATAGCCAGCGATGCATGCATCAACAATAATCTGCAATAATTAATAATTTCATCACCACGTCTAGCAGGGATGGGACCAGAGCACGTTACTGACATGGACATCTTCTTCACAAGGTTGCACACCTTTTTGAATGCATGCAGCAACAGCACTGTCATGCCCTGATCGTCCGCTCCTTCCGTTTCCCACGCCCCCTCATTAACCCCATGTGGAATATCGGCATTCATTCCATATATTCTGATCAGTGATCGCGGATTTTCCCCCGATGCATCACAGTTCTCTGCGTATCGCATACCTTGCTTGTGGTCTGATTGTTTTAGTTTTGTTTTAAGCCCTACGATGGCTCCCAAGCGTCCTGCACCTTCTAAGCCTTCTTGTAGTAGTGAGGAAAGCGTTACGCGGACGTCGCTCACCATTATGGCTTGAATGAATCTACAGTACGCTACATCACAAAGGATGAAAAGAATATATGAGCCATGTATGTTTTTATTTTTATATATTCCATTACGTATACATATATATATATATACAAACACACACATATATATATATATACACATGCACACATTACATATTATTATTTTATTATTATTATGATGTTACTCATATCCTTAGCCCGACAGAAAATATTAGCAGCAGCTGTTTCCACCAATGATAAACTAGAAAACTTGACACCCCAAAAAGACAATAGCTTTTTCTTTAATAGAATGAAATGTTTTTCAATGGGTAAAGTAATAAACATTACTAATATTTAAAGAAAAATTAAGTGGTATATTTGCTTATGTCACATTTTGACATTAAGTACCCATTAAGTTTAACAGTCTCATACACATTAGATGAAAATAAATTCAACTAATTCTGAAACAATAACATTTATGTTACAGAAAGTGCCAGATTAAGCTTTACAAAAATAAGAATAACTAGAAGGATGAATGGATTGACTCCAAATTTGGTGTATGAACAGTTTGAACTGTCCTCTATCAATTGCCAATTTTCAAAAAAAGTTACCAATCGGTTCTACGGGTGTCTCCCATGGCAGAAAGTATTATTATTATAATTATATTATTAATAATAATAATAATAATTATTATTATTATTACTTGTAACTTGTAATAGTAACTTGTCGGATTTAAGGTACCATATTCGTTCACTTACATTTTGCCCAGACTACCTTAAATGCGACAAGATACCCCGATAAGCCAGTAACCCCGCTTCGTAGTACAGGCCACAGAATTGAGGAACCCTAAACTAACCCATCTCATTGGAATTAAAACAACAAAAACAAACTACTCCAACACAGACAGTAAACAGAATGAATCTCCGAATGGGGAAATTTTAGAGTAATGTCTAATGTCTATCTGATGTGGCTTCTTGAACTCTGTGCTTATTTCTTCTGATAATTTTTTTTACAAAATCCTTGATCTCAGCAGTATTCAGAGAATACACAATGGGGTTTAACATGGCAGGAATGGCATAGGAAAGCGATATATTAATAATCCTTGCATTACGGTGGACAGAGCCGGCCATTGCACCTATGTAAATACCCAATATTGGAAAATAATATACTGACACTAATATTAGGTGGGAAAAACAGGTCTTTAAGGCTTTCCAGTGTCCCTCCCATGATGCAATTTTAAACAATGACAGCAAAATACATGCATAAGATAAACCAATCACAATTAAGGGTAAAAATAAATATAAGATCATGTACACTATTCCTAATATATTATTTGGTAGATTATCATTGCAGGCCAGTCTGTATAGCGGACCATGGTCACAGAAGTAGCTATCAATAACTGTGGATTTACAGAAAGACAGTCTGGTGATCAAAGCAACGGCAAGACACAAAAGCATAAAATTTATTCCCCATGCCACAGTGAGAATAATGCCCATTGAAGTGTTTGTGACAATGCTGTGGTACCTCAGTGGGAAGCAAATTGCAACAAACCTGTCATATGCTAGAAGAAGAAGTGTGAATGACTGCATGGAGTTAAAGAAGAATACAAAAAACATGTTAGTCAAGCAGGCTTCATAGGTTATTTGCTGTATATTTAACAGACAGACGTTAATGACGTTAGGAAAAATAGCTGTGCTTTCACCCAAGTCAGCTACTGCTAAGTTAAAAATCGCCATATATTTTGGGATGTGAAGAGAACGGTCCACATATATAATAAATGTGACAAAAGAGTTCGCCAAGACAGTGATGATATAGATGCAACATAAGAAAATGAAGTAGTATTTTGCGTGTGGAACGTTAGAAAAACCACTGATGAAAAAATTTTGAGGACGAATAAAAAAATTTTGGGTTGAGTTTCGGTGAATTATGTCAGACATGTTTTGTCGGGGTTGTTCTTTTTCTTCTTTGACCTGCAAAATTATAAGTATTAAAGTATAAAAAGTATAAAACTTTTCAAATATCTGACATTTACACTACATAAGCTACATGTATAATATAAAACCCACAGTCCCTACAGCTTTATTGAAAACAAGGTATAAGAAATATTGTTCACCATGCGGTACTAATAAAATTTTACTATTCCTTTCAGAATCCCCCTTTTAAAAGTGCTTTTAAATCATTCAGTATGATGAAATTAGAACAATTTCTTAAGACTGATCCTTAATTCAGCAATATATAGACTGCATAATATTGATTTTGTAATACTGAATAAGTTCAGTTTTTTCCAAAAAAGTTACAGTATTTACATAAACATTATGTTGATACTTCAGCACAAATGTAAAATCTAACAAATCCATATTATTTACATAAATGAATTAAGAAGTTAAAATGATTGAAACCTGTATAAAATTGCATAAAGCATAATGTTGTGTTTTGTGTTGGTATTTAGATATTTTGTAAATCTTTTTGTAAATATTATATGGTGTATTTTTTAAGTTTAAGAGTCTGGGTTTGGCGGTTGCCAGCATGACAGTTTCTGGTACCTGAACTTCTGTGACCCAACTTCAAGTGCGCTCTGCTGAGAATACAGTCCTGGAAAAAAAGTATTTCAAACAAACATTAATGTTATATTCCATGTATAATGAAGTTGACATGCAGTCATTTTTAAAATTCAGTGATACTTCCATACTGCAGAGTTAAATAATTTTATACAGGCGTGCAAGATACACACTAATTTCATTTAGGGTGAAGATGGAAAATGTGACTCTCATTGTGTCTTCATCCTTTCAGTCCAGGCAGACAGAGGACCTGTGAAATGATTATGCTTATAAATCCTCTTCTGTGTTGTTCCATGACCACC